CGAGAGAGACGGAGCGACGAGTGAGACTGCAGGGCGCCGGGGAAGCAACACGTGGGGGCAGCGACACCGCGACCGTCCCGAATTGGCCGGCCACGCGCACGCCGCGGGGAAGTCCCCCCCACTCCCTCTCCTTTCCGGGTGCACTTGTCCGATCGGGCATCGAGAATGCAGATTGAAAGGTGTGTGGGTGCGAGTGGCGCGCTCTAGCGCGGCGCCGCGCGTCGGCCGTCGACAGGTGACGGCTAAATCAATGTGGAAATGGTTGGACTTGTCGGGTTCACTTCCCACGGCGCGACGGACAGACAGGCAGGCAGACAGACAGACAGACGGGCAGCGTGTGGCTTTTCCCGACAGATTTGATCAGCTGGCCACGGCCGGCCCGCGGCGGACGGGAGGACGAAAGAGAGCGGAGCCAGCAGTGGCGTAGCTAACAGTGTATTTTTCCTCCGTCCACGTGGCAACGCCGCGGACTGCAGAGCACTGCAGAGTCGTGATGAAGGACAAGGCCGGGGCCATCTGCTGGGCTGGAGCGGGACAGCCTCCGGAACAGGACGCGCCGCTAGACCCACCTTGAAGGCGAACTGCCCCGAGTAGTCGTACATCCCGCACGAGTGCATGAGGCTGAGCGCGTCGCGCACCGGCTCCCCCTTGAGCACGCGCTCCTCCGTGAGCGGGCACACGCCGCCGTTGGCCAGGGTGGCGCCGATCACCGCCAGGGAGTCCGCCGTCGTCTCCATGGCGCAGCACTGCCAGCAGGAGAGGGGAGGGCTCTTTGCAAAGAACGCACTCGCGGACAAAACGTCCCGCCGACTTTCTTTGAGTGTTCCGGAGAAACTCGCAAGCCGCTCCTGGTCTCCGTGATTTGGTTCGATTATCCTCAAGTGAGCGGCAACGTCAAGTGTAACCCGCGCCGCGGCGGCGCGGCGGTCCTAGGCCGCTAGGCTGGAGTGCCGTTTGCGTTCCAGCGGTGCCTTGCCTCCGCGCCGCCAGGCCGCCAGGCCGCCAGCCGGTGAAAGCGAAAAGCACGGCGTCGTCTACCATTACGTCCACGCACGATCTGACCGTCTGACGGCCCGCTGGGCGGACGGCCGGATCATGCGTTGCAAAACGGGCGCTCGTTTTTTGCCGCCTGCCGCGCCGTTTTGTCATCCACTCGCCAAACTCGTTGTATCCACCTGGAAGTAGAGGTCCATGACGACGCGCAGGCGGCCGCGCCTCGGGTAGCAGTCGTGCTCCCTCATGAGGAAGGCCAGTGCGTAGTTCCGGTCGCCCGCGTCCCTCTCCGACACGAACACGGCGTTGTTGAAGCCCAGCTTCTCCTCCCCCGCCATCCGCTGTGACAGTCGCGCTGTCTCTGTTGCTCTCGTGGGGTGCGATTCAGAGTGAGACAGCGCCGAAACGACTCATTCGAGGCGCGCGCGTGCTCTACCTGGATGAAGTGCAAGGTGTACTCGAACTTCTGCGCTGACGTCATCTCGGGGTAGATGAGGTCCTTGAGCAGCGAGCACAGCACGATGGCGCCCGAGTTGACCATGGGGTTGTGTGGTCTTTCTGTCGGGCACACGGGCCGTGCAGTTGTCGGACACACGACGGCGCAGAGGGCCAATTGCGGACTCCAGACTCACTGTTGCTGTCGAGGACGAGCTCGTTGAAGTTCCTGCCGCTCGGCTCCTGGCCGACGTACCGGTGCACCACCTCGGCGCCGAGGTGCTCCAGGCACAGCGCGTACGTCAACGGCTTACTGGAGCCCTAAGGAGAAGGCGCGGGTCATGAGTACAGTCCGCGCAGAGAGTCGGGCTGCCGGCGTCACGCCAATCGGTACAGTTGCGGCCAAGAGTCGCGGATGGCGCGGCCGGTTTTGCTCTGACGCCGACGTCAATGGCTGGACCAGTTCGGGAAATTCACAGGGTATCGTCCGCGCAGAAAGCTGAGGCTGGAGCGCGCGCCTCCAGGACTCGAGGCCCGTCGCAACCGGGGGTACACGCGTGGTCGAAAGTGATGGATGTTGCAACTGCATTCCCCGGCTCGCATGACTCTGAAGCTGCTGCAGCGCGGGCCGGCAGGGGAATCTCCGCCGTGCCGACCTCGTCGACAGTACAGTAGTGCAGCGCATGCATACAGTAGTGATACAGCGTAGCGGACGCCGACAGGCCGCCGCCGCCGTGAGCCGTTGCCAACAGTGATGCCTGTACTATCGCCCGCAAAAGTTTGCCCCCAGCCCCGTACCGGCGCGGCGTGCCGGCGAGGCGCGCGGCCCGGCTTACACTGTGTGGCCCGGGGCGAGTTGGCGAGCTCATGCCCTTCATCGAGGCCCTGCCCGCACTCGCCTGATGGACTGCAGGGTGAAGGGGATCCGGGCGTCGCCGACGCAGAAGCGCTGCCCGTCCACGCTGCAGACGCTGGCGCCCCAGCTGTTGCGGTCCATGAGAGCCAGCTGGGGGATGTACGCCGCCACCTTGGACACGAGGGCAGCGCGTCAGAGGTCCGCGACGACGACGCGGCGCACCGCACCGCAGGGCACTCACCTCGCCACCCTCGTTGGCCCTGCACCGCTCGAAGATGGTGCGCAGGCGGAGGCAGAACTCGTCAAAGTCCGCGATGGCCAGCCTGCCGCGGAAGGCGCGGGACAGCAGCGGCATGCTGGACTCCACCACGCTGACGTGTCGGAAAAAATAAAAAGTTTCCCGACTTGATTTCCATTTTTGTGAGTGTCGTGTTGTCACTCCCTCCACCACACCGACCGGCCGAACTCGTGGCGGTTGAGGCAGGCCGCGGGGCCGGCCGTGCCGCAGGCCGGGGGGTCGCTGGGCAGGGCGCCGAGGGCGTCGCGCACGGGGCTGTAGTCCAGGATGTCCAGCACCAGGTCGTCGGGGGTCACCACCTCCATCAGGCGCTGCTTCATCTCCTTGAGGCGCGGGTCCGAGTGCCGCAGCCCCAGGGCGGTCAAACTCTTCCCGCGAACATTTACGAGTAATTCATTAGCCGTGCTATTCACCTCCCTGGCCTGGCCTGGTCTGCAGGTCCGCAGGTCTGCGTCTGGACGCCATCTGCGTTGCCCTTCCAGTGCCCTTCCTGGGGTTCTGGGAAACACTTATGCAGCCTGCAGCCACCACCGCCCTCCCCTCCCGCATCCCTCCGGCTCTACTTTTATTGCCCCATCACGGAGACGAAAAAAAAAGGCAAAGGAACCCTACACCGGACTGGGACTGGACTATGGATTTCCTTTGACCCGTTACCAAATTATGGACAAGATAGACATGGATAACGCAAGCAATAACGAATTTGAGTTTATAGCCGAACGGGTCTCATGTTTATTGCCTTTTCGCTTCATCGTCGTCGTTCGGGCGAGGAGAGCTTACTGTTTGATTCACCGATTTGTCGCTCTTTCACTCGCGCCCCTAAAGTATAGTTACTTCGCGAGACTGTTCAATCGAGCTTCTGTACACAGAAGGCCCGGGACCGAAGTAACGACAGCGAGCACTACTTCGAGAGAAGCCAGCGCCCAGCACCTCTTCCACTAATCCTGTTTATTGTTCGATTCCTCTGGCCGGGACTGTCCGGTCCCGGTCGCGGCAGGCTAGAGGCGAGGTTGACAGACAGGTCAACAGGAGGACGGACGGACGGACGGACGGACGCCGAGGACGCAGTTACAGTGTGTCGCGGCGGCACCGCTTTGAGGGCTAAACGGGCGAACACGGCGACACTGCTCGGCATGGAGGAGGGGCTTGTTTCTACAAGCTGGCCCTAACTCAGCTTTTGGGGGCCAAAACGTGCTCCCACGGTTCGTCACCACCACCGTTCGTGGGGCTCGAGACAGTTTATCGCTACCAGATCTCTTCCGGCGTGTGGCGTGCACCTGTTAGGACAGAACTGGGACGGGTAACTTGTCCTTCGCCCCCGCGCGTCCTGAAGGGGAAGGCTGGCGGCTGTCCTGGGGCAAGGCGGCGAGGCAACGCGCGCGCTGTTGCGGGTGGTCAGGCGACGCGGCGACGCGGAGGAGGAAGTGGAAGCCGCGGTGCTGTCCCTGTCCGCTGGGACACCTTATCGTGGATTCGGCGCGGCGCCAGCGGCTCGGTGCCGCCCGGCGGCCAAGGGGCGCGGCGCGGCGCGGCACGGCGCGGCACGGCGCACACGGGTCACCACCGTGCCCAGCCGCATTCCTCGGCCACGCTGGCGCTGCGGGCTGCGGCACGCGCTGCGGTGGCGGTGTCCACCGTGCCGGCCTTTGGCGGTCTTTGGCGGCCTATTGCGTGCCTAGGCACCCAGACCGAGGTGGCTCGCGCTGCTAGCGTTTCTTTCCGACGTGTCGCGTGTCGCACTCCTCGCCCTCAGAATCCGAATCCCGTTTCCCGCTTGACGACGCCGTGCCGCTGCCGCCGCCACGCCCATTGCCTCTGCTCATCAGTGCCCCCCCCCCCCCCCGCCCTAGTGACCGCACCCTGTTCGCCCTCCCCCAATCTCCCGGTGATAACGCCCGCACCCGGGATGGCCGGACGGCCCGGCATTGATTCTGCTGTTCCAAGTCACCCAAGCCGCGCTAGACACCTACCGACAGGAACTTGCCGATGGCCACGGTGTCGTCGGGGCCCTTGAACATGTCGAAGAGCACGTCCTTGGCCGTGTCGCCGAACGTGGCCCCGTTCGAACCCCAGGGCTCGAAGGGGGCCCTGCGGCCGCAGCTCGTGTGCGCGCGTCTCCGAGACTGCCCAGCGCCGAGAGGGCCTAGGGGGCCTGGAGGGCCCCATGGCAGCCTGGAGGGCGGGAGGGAGCAGGCATCAGTCGCACAGCACACCGCTAGAGACCCTCTACACACCGCCTCCGCGCTCCGTCTCGCTCGCACCCTTACGGAACACCCCATGAGTGCGAGAGAGACAGCACGACAGCGATGGCGCGGTGTTCGGAATCAGCCTGCTGGGCGACTGATCTGGACCTATGATAAGCCCATCACGCAAGACTGGGGTACTACAGTGTACTACCTGGCCCAGCGCGCGCAAGCGTGCCGAAATACGCTCAGAACCATCCGACTCTTTCGGCAAAATTCCCCCGTGCCATTATCTGGCGGGGTGCGGTCGCATAGCAACGGCCATTCACCTTCTGGATTCGGACAAACCCAAAAATAATAAAGATGCGTGGGTTTTTGTCGGCGGTGACGGGACACTCCGGTCAAAGGACGCGGCGACGCGGCCAAGCGGCCTGGTGGCCTGCCTGATAGTTTTACAGTGCGAATGATGAGGGTCGGTGGGTCCGAGTGTTTTGAGGAGTGCGCCAGCCGACCCTCCCCGACGGCTGGCGACAAGCCGGAGTGTGGGAACGGACCAGAAACGGACATGCAAAATGCAGCACCGGCCGTGTTGTGCCCTAGGCCGGCTGGAAGCAGCTGGAAGGTGCAAGGGTAAGGTGTGCAGCAGGTTGCTGCATCTTGACATCTTTGCGCCGAGCATGGCCTGCTGCCCCAGCCCCACGGCGGAGAGGAGAGGGGACGGGGAAGGACAAAACGAAACGCGCGCTGTTGCCGCTCTGCAGGCTGCCGGGTGCCCTGTTGCCAAGTCCACGTGGAATGCCATCTTTTTAAAAGCGCTGTGGGGGTCGTCGAGTCGCTTCCGGCTCCAGTGGTGCTCTGTTTCGATCCCCGGTGACGGCAAAGTGGGTTGCGAATGCCGACGGCGTCCTTATCTTTCGGTGTGTCTCTTCTTGGCGGCCCTAGGCGGCCCTTGCCAGCGCCGCCGCTCGACGCATTCTCTGCCCGGCAGCAATCCGACCCCCGCCCCCACCCCCGCCTCCCCTCAGCACCCATCCCCACTCTCCGTTTTTCCTGCCTGCGAGCCAGCGCCCGCCCCGCCCGAGCCGCCCGAGAGTCGACGCCGGCCCCTGCCCCCGCCCCCTCCCCCCCCCCCCCCAGCCTAACCCAGCCACCAGCCGCCCAGCCAGTCTGCCAGCCAGTTGTGTGTTGGCTTTCGGTTCGTGGCGTCTTGAGTTGCTCGGTGAGTTCTTAGTTTGTGACATTGGTGGGTGATACTCGTGCGTCGGTAATTGCCATTTGACTGCTATTCGTGTGAAGACCAGGCTGTGTCTGATCTTGTGCCCTTCCTACCTGTTTATTTATGTAAGTGCTGCATGCTCTCGGCGGGACAACCCGGCCTACTTGACAAGTCCATGACAAGTCCGTACCCAGGGGCATTTTACCTTACACCGGTTCTTGAATGTTTTTTTTACGTTTGCTGTTGTTTGGCGTTGATGCACGTTTACGTTTAATACTCTCTCACGGTGCGCACTGGGTTTCCCGCGGAAAGTAGATCTTGTGGGTGTGTCTTCCCATTCATTATCAAAGTGAAAGTAGGCTGCTTATTACCTGGTTGTCCCTTTGACACCTTTTCCTACTAGTCTCATCTCCGATTTCTGAACGGGCATCTTTGCGTAACGTCACTTGGTCTACGTCATGTCAGTGCTGTCATCTATGGCTTGTCGCTCCAAAAAATGTGAATTTTTCAACTTTTGACTCTTTTTGTCAACCCGTTTTAGTCTTTTTCTCCCTCTGCAGCTGTTCATGGTCCTAGAATTTTACCATCTTAAACTACTTGCTCTACAGTCTGTCGTATTCCCACATTTGCAGCATGACAGTTCAGTGGTTTATTTACACTAGATTTTGTTTGTGTTTTCAGTGGTTCCAAATCATGGAGTTAGATGACCTGAAAGTTGATTTTAATGCTGTCCTCACCTCAGGAGGCGGAAGCCTCACTGATAAGCAGTTTATGAGTAAGTATTTTTGAACTTGGAGGTAATATTGTGTTTAATCATCATAACTTGCCAGTAGAGTATTTGTTTCATTCTTACCTATTCCTGTTGCAGGTGACTTCCGTAGTTTGATTGGTAAGAACATTCCTTACAGACAATTTGGTCACAACGATTTGTTGTCCCTTTTAAAGTCTTTGGGCTATCACACCTCCAAGCGAGGTGCTGATACCATAATATATGCACAAGGCGATGAGAAAACAGCACACATAGCGTCATTAATCGCTCGTCAAAAGAAGAAACCAGGGAAGGTTGGTGGTCTTTTGCCCTGTTACTGGTAGTTTCAATTTGTTTTATCACTAGCTTGAAACTTGTTTCTCTGTCTTTTCTCGCAGCCTAAAGTGCGGAAGAGCTACTTCCCCTCTTCGTACTCCAGAAGGCCCAGCAAGCCGCCACCACTGCTGGATGTTAGGAGACGTTCGTTAGTAGCACCAGTGGCGTACAGAGGAGGCACACCAAGGCAACCACCGCCTCCCAGATTTGGGAACCCACCTATTATTCCACAGAGGCAGCCTCTCTCGACTACAGCGCAGAGTCGGCTGGATTCGACCAAGAAGGACGTCCCTGATGTTTCATCAGTTAACAGGATTAATGTTATAGAATCCAGAAAAACTATTCTTAATGTAAGCAATTTAATTTTTTTAGTTTGAAACTCTTGGTTATGCATGCTTAGTTTTTTTGAGCATATTAGCTTTTTGTTGGTACAAACCACATTAGAGCCGTAGAATTTTTGTCTTGGTATAGTGGTTTACATTATCATTTAAAATTAGCTTCATCTTATTCAGTCCTGTGGCTTTGTTTTTTAAGTCTTGTTGAAAGCATGTGTAGTCAACTCTCCCAGTATTACTTTAGTGCACCTCGTAGTTATTACTGGTATTTATTTCCCGATTTCTATTTTTCTTTCAGGATGAATCAGACAACTGTAGCAGGCCTAATGAAAACTCCAACTCAAAGGTGAATAGTTAGCACTTGTTACCACAGCATATGTCTTCGTTTCCTAAGCTGCATCATGCTTGGGCGGGCATTTTTCAACTAACTGCTTAATTACATTTCTATGCTGGGTTTATCTCTCAAAGACTCATAAGTTAGTAATAGTTTCCAATCAGTGTTTGTTTCTGGTCCTACCATGGAAAATGGTAGGATTCTGTGTTGTCTTGAAGTAATTGTCAGCATTTCAATTTAGTCACAGATCAATTTATGAGGGGCCTTTCTTTCTATGCATGGCGCTTATGTTTTCTCCCTGTATCTTCTAGGGACCACATTTTGTTGAGGAGGCAGTGGATGAAGCCAATTTCGTTGACATTCAGGTACCTGCTTAATACTATCAATGAGAGTGCACGGTTTCTGCATGGTATTTTTTTAGAACATAAACAAAGACATAAACGATAGGTGCCAGACATTTCCTCCATTCTTTTTGAACGTCTTTGAATGTATGAGTTTTCCAGGGTTATCCGTTCTGTCTATCCTAACTCTCTAAAATCTGTGTTCCATATGTTTAGTCCTTTCTAATAATCTGCCTTTTGAATCCTGGCATTACTTGTATATGTGTGGTTATTGTTTAATTTCTTTTTTTTTCTATTTTTCAATGTTTTAGTGGCTGCAGGCTAAGGTGAAACCCAACAGAACGGTTGTAGCCACACAGAATACATCCATCCCTGACAATGCAACCCTCTCTGTTGACACAGCCTTTGTAAGTGTCATCATCAATTTGTATTTGCTTTTGTACAGCTGATCACATAACACTTGATTGAGTTGTAGGTAGGGCTACTGTCACGCATTTATTTTTCTTGCTGTTGTTTTCAGGACAACTCAAGTCCAAGCCCAAGCCCTAAGTCTCCTCAACATGCCAAATCACCATCCAGACCATCAGGGCCTGAGCAGACTGTTTCATTTACGTGTCATGTTGAGGAATTGTCAATGTTGGCTGCTCGGTTAGACTTACCTGCACCTTTATTCACTGAAATAAAGAGAAAACCATCCAAGGGTCCGGCCCTTTACTTGTGTAAAGTGAAGGTAAGGTTGTTTCTTATCAGGATATTATAAACCATAAAACAGCGCTTTTCAAATTTTTTTTTCTTTTTACTTTACAGCTTGGAGATGGTATCACTTTTAATTCTTTCCCAGATGAGAAAGGTACACCGGAAGAAGCAAAGGAGCTGGTTGCGAAGCTAGCTTGCGCGGATTTAAATCTCCGCTTGATCAAGTTAAATGTGCAAGAACCAATAACTGACGCGGATTTAATTTTTCGATTTTAACGTAATTTTTAACTACTTTCATTGAATTTCTTTTTTTATTTCCCCAGTTTTCTGTTTCATTATTAACAATGATTCAATTTTTACAGATTATTAAAGAGAAGAAAAATGGCATTTTTGACCATGCAGTTGTTTCTGCTTATGAAACTAAATTTAACAGTGCCATTGTTGCCTCATGGCTTGATATTATAACAAGAAGCCCCAAATTTATAATAGAAAAAGTTAACCAAAATACAATTATTTATCCTCAAGTAAGATATTATTAATTAAAAATGTATATTATATACAATGTGTTTTGGCCGAACACAGTAATAATAAATAATTGCATTGGCTTTATTAGTTATTTGTTATATTATGATTGCAGGAGTTACCTTCTGTGCCCGTCACCCTGACCCCTGCCTCTGGTCCTACTACAGAACCAAAGTGCAATGGTGGTGTGAGCAGTGCTAATCATACTTTGTGTAAAGACATCAATGCCAACACAGTTATTGTAACCGAGTCAAAGCCCAGAACTCTACCAGACCTTGTGCTCCCGAATACAAACACTTGGGACGTGTTTGTTACTAGTGTTGGTACTGATGATATATGGGTTAGACTCATCGGTGATGACTATGATGTAAGTGAATGTTCTGTTACTGTCCAAATTTTTGCACTTATCATTTAGTTTTCATTTACTAATGGGATTGTTTTTTTTTTGTGTTTTTCTTAAGGCAAAATATAATGATGTTATGACTGATTTGGAGTTGAAAATGGTGGCTTATGGTGAAATAGTTTCAAATCCTCAAATCAATGATTATTACTGCATTAAATGTGATAGTTGTTTCATCAGAGTGCAGTTGAAAGAAATAATTTCTGAGGAAGAGTGTGAGGTGTTCTTAGTGGATAATGGCGAAACTGACACCATTTCTCTCTCAGACTTAAGAGTGTTACCTGTTGAGTACACAACACTCCCAGCACAGGTGGTTTATTTATTACAATTCCTGATGATCTGGTTTATAATCTTTGTGAAAAGCGTGATATTTATTGACTTGTCTTTTCAGGCCATACAGTGTCGATTGTCATATTTGGACATTTCATATGAGGCAGCCCAAACATATTTAATGAATTATGTTATTGGGTCATCATTTGTGGCAGAGGTGGTCAAACTGCCATGTCCCAATCAAACAAATTTGGCAAATATAATTCTGCACAATACCAATTCCGAAGATGAAAAGAAAGGGCCTATAAATGTAAATTACTGCATTCTTGAAGAGATTGTGAAAAAACTAGAACCACCATCAGTAACACAGGTTTGCTCCATAAATTTTAACATGTCTTTAAATTCTTAATCTTCTGTGCTTATTTTTATTTATGTTATTTGACAGAGGCATGTTGCGTTTTTGCGTCTGACACATGTTGAGGCTGGTTGTTCTCCATACTGCCAAGTTGAGGGCAAAGACCTCGAATTTCTTGAGACAATACTGAAAGAAATCCACGAAAATATGGACATGATCTATTTGCATGGGCTAAATGCCCACCCCAGGATGGGCACTAAATCCCAAACCAAACAGTATTTGTGTAAGTTTAAAAACACATGGCGACGAGGAACTATTTTAAGCACCGACGATTCACGAAACCCAACAGTAGGTATCCTCCATCATACGAAACAAAATAGAATGCTAGATAACCAATGCCATACTTATTGATGTTTTTGTTGTAGGTTTATTTTATTGATTATGGACAGAAAGAGAAAGTTATGTTACGAGATATATTTGACTTGGAGAAGGTTTATCCTCCCCTAATAAATTTTCCTCCTCAGGTGAGTATTGTATTGACACCTTATGTTTATGCTAAAAATTCATCTTGATCACGATCTTATTTTTGTTTTAGGCCATACAAGTAAATTTGCTAAATCTGCCACCATCTAAACTGAACGTTGGTGTCATTCATCGACTTAAGGAGCTAGCTCCACCAAATACATCTGTTATTAGTAAATGTGTTAATGTTGTTGGTGGTGTGCCAGAAGTAGAGCTTTTTAAGAGACTCCAGCCACTAAACATAATAGCATCACTTAACGTGGATTTAACTTTTAATTATGAGGAGTGAGTGCTGCGCACATATATGGATCAATTTATAATTTTTTCATTGCTTGGTTTTCATACTTCTTTTTTTTCTTATTTCAGATATAGCCTTAGGACAGAACCTGAGGAGCCCTCAAGCTTTCCTCTAAGAGGTCTGTAAGATATTTAATCAAATAAATTTGTTTATGTTGTGTTTTTTTCCTATATTTTTTCCTGTATTACCAGTCTCCTCCTTTTTCTGACAGGAGCTCCTGGGTGCACAAATCCCCTTGATAAATACCCTCTACCATCGGTGAACTCCGGTTTCTTTGATGTATCCGTCTCCATGTCCTCCGCACCATCCAACTTTGTGGCAAGTTTCATTTCTTTGTCAGTTTGTTCAGTAGCCAAGTTAAAACCTTGAAGATAACATTTTTTGATTTCATCCTTTTTTTAACTCCTCTGTTGCTCTGCTGTGTAGGTTCAACCATTACAAAATCGACTCGCATTTGACAAAATGGCCGAAGAAATGCAGGAGTTATATGAAGCACAATATAGTGTCATGCCATCTCCAGCAATTGAGGAACTAACTGAAAATGCTACTTTTGCTGCAAAGCATCCTGAGGATCTGATGTGGTACAGGTACAGTTTGTTTCAGTTACAATAATGCTTCTCTTCAATATTTCTTCAAAACTTAGCTTCCTAATTTATAACCCTTTTTTTTTGGCATTGCAGGGTGTCTATTGTGACAGCAACTGATTCCACAGTCAGCGTCCGTTATTTAGATTGGGGTGATGTTGGGTTAGTCCCTATTGAGGACTTACGATACTTGGAACCGAGGTTTAGAACAATTCCTGCACTTGCCATTAGGGCTAAGCTTCATGGTGTGAAGCCAAAGGAAAACACTGAATGGACTGTTGACCAGTGTTTGTATTTCAATGAACTCGTTGACTCCAAGTCATTTGTTTCAAAAGTAATGGATGTTAATTCTGAATCTAATTCCCTTTCATGGCAATTGAGTCTTCATCTCATTGACACTACTGCGGAAGATATGGATGTGAACATTAGTGAGCTGTTAGTAAGTGCGGGATTTGCTGATGTTGTACATCAATAAACAAATTATATTTTTGTTATATCATGTCTGTTGTATCATGCATGAAATGATTTGTCCTGTACATTAATATGAATTAATATGTAAGTGTTTGTTCTCGTTGTGTTAGCAATGAATCCAAAGGCTGACCTTGTATCAGTATTGAATAAATTTTTATGTCATTTTAAAGCAGATGGTGTGTTTCATTCCTGTAGTTTCAGTTAAACCATACTGATGAACAGTGGCGTGGAGTCTAAATTATGAAAATGACTAAAAAGTAAATGAGTTTATTTTAAAGGAAGATGGTACATTCAATTGCTTACAATGCAAGTGCATATCTGAGTGCCTTTTACAGAACGCTTTTATACACATGCCACAACAGTGGAGAAATTAGGAAAAGGGGAGGGGGAGGAGGCGGGAAAGCGGCTAAAGCCGATCGTCCGTCAGGTTGTAGCGCCAAGCTCGCTCCCGCTGGTTTGGTGCGGCGATTTGGCCGGGGGCGGGGGCGGAGCTGGGACGTACACTGACGCCGCCGCGAGGGCGGGGGTTGGGCGTGGGGGCGGGCGTCGGGTCGGGGCTGACGGCCAGCTCGGGGCCTCCGCCACGGCTTCGGCGTTGCAGCCGGAACGGCCGGGACGGCCGGAACCTGCGGATCCGTCCGAGACAACGACCCAGGAGGCCGGCGCCGACACCCACCCCGGCACCCGCCCCCAACTGCCGTCAGAAGGAGTCGCGCTCCCTGCCGCGCTCCTTGGCGCGCCGCTTGAGCAGCACTAGGCACATGATGAGCAGCAGGAGCAGCAGCAGCACCAGCGCCAGCAGCGTGAACATGGCGGAGCGGAAGGGCTGGGCTGCGAGCAACAAGACGGTTCTTTCAAGAGCAGCCGAAACAGACGCGACTCGCAGTGTAGTGAGACCAACCGTTAGTGAGCGGGGCTTCCCTGGAGGCGGCCCAGACCGCCATGCGGTCGCCGATGCTGTCGTTGTGCAGCTTGGGCAGGAACACGTTCCACAGCTGCGCCGCCCTGGTGTCGCGCGCGTCGCGGCCGCTGGCCTGGCCGTCGGGGGCGCCCTCGCTGGGGAAGGCGAAGGAGTAGGACCGCATGGGCATGGGGTGCGTGCCGTCCGCCACCAGCGACAAGAAGGCCCTGTCCGAGTCGGTGTACCGCCGCCACGTGACGCCGTAGCCGCGCGCGCCCGGCGTGGGGTTGCTGCGGGGCACAGTACCGTGAGGGAGGCTGCTGCCAAACTATCTCGCCCATCGCCAGAGACCACGTTGAACCTTGAATTTCCGAGTGCGGCGCATGCACAGTCACTCACCCGGCCCTCGCGAAGTCCACCCACATCCTCTTCATGTAGGCCGCCAGGCGCTCCTCCTGCGGCGTGAAGCGGCGCCCAGCCACCTGCCGGAGCAGCGTCGGCCCCAGCAGAAGCAGCAGCTCCGAGCCGTACCCCGCGCCTGCCAACAACACAGTCGCTGGTTCGAATACCCGCTCTGGCTCGTTTTTTCCCCGCGTCTTGTCAAAGTTCCCGCGTCAATTCCTCGCGCGTGGCTCCTTGCCTGCCTGCCCGCCCCTTTGGCGGGGGATTTACTGACCCGGCAACAAAGTTTCCCGAAGTCTGGAGATTAGAATCACTTTGAGTAAGACCGCGCGGGACGACGGGCAGCACAGCGCAGGCAGCGCCAGGTCTAGGCAGGCAGTAGAGGTCACGCAAGCCGCGCAAGCCGTCAGGTCTAGGGGTCTAGTCGGACCACAGTTCCGTTCGGCAGCTTTGCAGTCCTCCAGGTTGTGAGGCTGCGCTATGCCTAGTCAGCCTGGTGGGTACGCAGTCTCGACAGTCTCGACGGCACCCCGGTAGGCAGGGCCGCACTGCCCCGGGGAGGAACCACGAGCCACGGCCACGTCGCCGCACCAGCCACAAACAGGCGAACAGATGACGCACGCGTAATTGTCCCAACTTGATTTGGAAGTGAGCGCGGGAACCAGCCGGAACGAGACTGTCTCACGGGGTCGCTCTTCTCGACTTGTTATTACACACAGGGGAGGCGGGGCGGGGCGGGGCGGGGTGGGGCGGGGTGGGGCCTCGTCGCCGAACGAGGAAGTATCAGGGCGTTCCCCGCGGACGCGAAGCAAGCCAGGCCCGTGGCAAAGGCTCCAGGGAATGCCGCGAAATGCCGTGCCTTAGCAGGGACGAGGAGAGACACAATTGTAACCCAATTCAACCGCCTTGGCAAACAATATCCACACAAGATCAGATAAATGATTTGGATTTCGGGAATCCGAGTGACACTCATCTTTTTTGTGGCAGTGCAGCCGCGGGAGGGGAGGGGTCGCATCCCTTTATCCGCAAGCCTGTTGGCCTGTTTCAGCCCAACTTGGCCGTCTCTTCGTTTCTCCCTTCAGCGAGCAAAGATGCGAAAGAAAATAAGCTAATTTGGTTGGGAATAAAGCAATTAAAACAAAGTTTAAAGGAGCGCCCCGGGCTGGCCGGGCTGGGCCCTCTGCCAGGCGCCCTGATCCTCGTGGCGTGGCGGGGCGGGGCGGGGCGTGGCGAGCTTGACGAGGATGGCGCTAAGGCCTGTTGCCCCTCATCCACCTCGGCCCCCTCGTCAAACTCGCCTTGAACACATCGCGGGGCGACGCCGCCTTCTCTCTTGTACTGAATTAATTGTCAAACCGGAAGACTTTGAAGTGGGACCGGCCCGCGGCCCGCCCGCGCTACATCCCATTATTGGACCTTTGTCGTCATCGGGAGGCCAAGAGGACAGCGCGGGCCTCGTTCTTGTTTTGCTCGAAATAAAGATAAGGCAAAGAGGCGAAGCAGGAGTCCCCACCTGGGTACCCTGAGCCCACCAGGTCGGGGCCCGGCTGGTCGAAGCGGTACGCAAACAGCTGCGTTGTCCTGGACGACAGCAACTGCAGCTGCCGGGCATGGGGCGCCTTGAAGCGGGCGTCTGTGTACATCTGCAAACACAGAGCAATCAGTCAGGCCGGGCCAGGCTGCAGGCGTTCCGGGGCGTTCCGGGGCGTTCCAGGGCGATGCAGGGCGCCTCCTTACCTGCAGCAGCCCCGCCATGAGGGCGCTGGTGTCGCCGGGCGCCGCCGCGTCCACGTACTTCCACTCCAGCAGCGCGCGCAGGCTGGCGTCGACGGCCACCTCGATGCCGGGCTCTCGCAGCGCGTCGTCCGGGTAGCCGTCCAGGTCGTTGTCGTCGCGGCGTTCGGGGAGCGGCCAGCGCGTGGGGATGGTGGTGAAGCCGTAGCGCTTGGCCACGCCGGGGATGGCGGCGTTCAAGAAGAACCGCCGCAGCTGCGCGAAGCTCTGCCGGGACAGGTCGCGCTGCTCGGCTACAGTTTGGGGAAGCAGAGCGTTTGAGAGTGAAAGTCACACCCGCCGCGTTGAAAGTCACGAGCCTCACCCAAGGCCACGGTGCCGTCCTGGTCCGCCACGCCCGTCATGATGGGCACCTGGGGGAACGCGCCCTCGCGCAGGGCGTCCCTCGGGTCCTTAGGCAGGTACTGCTCCTCGGGGGGCAGGAACGAGTCGGACACGGGCAGGGGCAGGTCCGACCAGTTACCGGCCTGGCGATACGGAAACAAAACACAATCTTTGCGGTAAGGGGTGGAGGACAGGCGCAAACGCCGCTTTGTTCACTGTCGGCGCATGGCAGACATTGAGATGACGGGATTCCGAACTGCTCACTCACCTGGTACTGCGTGAGGAAGGCCCTCAGGATCTCCGAGGTGGACTTGGTCCTGAGGCAGTCCAGGGTGGTGGCCGAGGCCGGGCGCAGTGGCGGCAGGCGGGACTCGGTGTCCAACGGGAAGGCCGCGAACGGCGGCAGCGGGCAGCCCAGACTGCGCGCCACCCCCAGCGACGCGGAGGTGGCCGACGGCGAGCGCGCCCATGGCGACGACGCGGCGCCCGACATGAGGACGGCGCGCTGGAACAAACCTAAAACACGACAATCAAAACACCGCCGGAGAGTGGCCCTGGTGGGGATCGAACCCGCGACCGAGGCTCACCCAGCGTCCGCGGGCTGGTGAGGTGCAGCGCAACGCTGGCCGCGCCCGCGCCGTGGCCCAGCAGCGTGATGGTGCGGGGGTCGCCGCCGAACTTGTCGATGTTGTCGCGCACCCACAGCAGCGCCAGGTACTGGTCGAGGAGGCCCAGGTTGCCGCGCGCGCCGCCGTCCCCGAGGCAAAGGAAACCTGCGAAAACAACAACATTTTCATCACCGGGGAGAGGGTCTCAATGATGGCGTTTCGTTTCGCCCGCCGATCGCGCACGCCCCGCCGCCACCCGCGGCACGGGGGCCACGCCCGCCACGCCCGCCACGCCCCGCCGCAGATTGGGTTATGAATGTATAATGCGTGGGAAGCTGCGACGGGGGGGGGGGCACGCTTTTCGACCCGGCAGCCGGGGAACCGGCCTCAGCCACGGCCTGCCTCGCGTACACACTGGTACACACCCCTACGGGGCGCCCCATGAGTGCGAGAGAGACGGAGCGACGAGAGCACCGTTCGGAAGCAGCCTCTGCTGCTGCTGCACCCACCGATCTCGTTACTCGGCCCGTGTCGTCATCGGCTTTGATGCACCGGCCAAGGCCGCCGGCCGCACCGCGTGCTTTGGTTTGGCGCGTTTGGCGCGTATGCCACGCTGCGGGCCGATTCGCTCTGTCTCTGTCGCACTCAGAGAGCGGCCGGCCGGCGCGCGATCATCGGCGATCCCCACCGCAAAGCCGGGGCCGCGCTGCCACGCCATGACGCGGCCGGCCAGCCGAGGCCCAGCCGAGCCCCAGCAGCCCACCACGAGTCCATGATGGCGCGGCTAACGCCAGGCTAACGCCAGGCTCAGGCAGCCGACGCGCTGACGGTTCAACGCCAAATGTATTCCTGATGCACCACGGCGCCGTGCTGCACGACCACTGTCGCCAAAGTGCCCCCCCCCCAACCCGGGGGCGTGTACCGAGTGCAGAATGGTTTGCCGTTCGGCGGCCTCGGCGTGCCGCCGCGCGACGTGCGCCGAATTTGCGTCTCGCCTCCGTCGCACCGCTACACTATAACATTCAGGTGCTGCGATGGGCGCGTTTAGCTCGCGCGCCTGGGTAGCTTTCTACGCGTTCAAGTTACATTTTAACGCGGCGGGGCGTATGAACGAGTCCGGGCGTCATTCATAAATCCTCGCGTGGTTGTCTAACTTCGGGAGCGCACAAAAACATGCACGATTACGCAAACTAAACGCACTGAAAAGTCTTTGAGAACGATGTACGCTGCTCTGCTTGACGTTGACGTGCGACGAGCAAGCACCGGGCAGCACAAAGCCCCCCCCCCCCCCCGACCGAGCTGTCAGCCCTTACACGGCCGGCATACACCGCGGCCTAGTGGCGTACACCTGGTGCTGGTCAATGATTGGCGCCTTTCGGCTGGCCGGCGTGCGAGAACACTGTGTGGTACACTGTGGGACGACTTGTTTTGGAAATGTCCAGTACACGTGTTTTGAAAGTGTGCAATTGAATGGCCGGCCGGCGCCGGCAACGCGACAGCGGGACTGGGAGAGAGCGGCACTGTTTCTCTTAGCGCCCGACCAAGTGGCGGTAGGCAACCCAGCGCGCTGCGCGCACGCCTGTGCGACGGGTGGCCTATCCCCGCCCCGAAGGCGCCTCGCCTCGCCTCGCTGGCCCGTCGTCGCTCTGTCTCTGTCTCTCTCGCGCACCCTAGGTCGGCCCTTGAGGGCGACAGAGACAGAGCAACGAAACGACGAGGACGGCGCCTCCCCGAGGAGCCCCCGGAGCGCCCCGGCGGTCTGGAAGAGACCGGAGGTGGTGAGGTGTAATTGCTGTTGCAAAAGAGAGAAGGAGAGAGGCGGAGAGGTGCTGGGGCCAACCTGGGAAACTGTCAACAAATTCTGAAAAACTTTATTCGGGCCGCATCCTTGAACGTCGCGCAGCAAGTCGCCGGGCTTAGGTGCGGCAGGGCATGCGAGTGGAGGGAGGGGAGGGGAGAGGATCGGGGCTTCATATCCACGGCGCGTCCCTGCAGGCCGCATGCCGCGTGCCCCAGCTCCTCCCAAACAGCGCTTCGTCGCTCTGTCTCTGTCGCACCCCAACGGAACGCCGCGCGAGTGCGAGAGAGACAGCGCGCCGAAGCGCCGTCCCGGGCCCAGCCTGGGGGCCGTCATAACTCCGGTAACGTCCGCGAGTAAAAGGGTGATGCGCCGTCAGGGTGGCGCGTTCCGGCCCGGCCCGGCCCGGCGACCCTCACTTTATCTTCAAATTTGACGCGCTGCTGGGGCGCGAACCGCCGACCTGCACCGTTATAAGGCGAGGACTCATCGGTCAGCAGATGCTTAGAGGGCGGCGATGATCCGGAGGGCGCTTTTGTCCGCTCGGCCCTTCAGACTGCAGGCCCTCAGGCCCTCCAGGCCCTTCAGCGGCGAAGGGCGCGCGTTAAAACTTAACGAACCCCGGCGTGGCCGTGCTGCCGTGCTGCCGTGCTGACCAGGACGCCGATGGGCTGCTCCACCGCCCCGCCTGCTCAGCTCATATCGCAATATCGAGCCCCGCGATCAGTATCATTATTGCACGCTGGCGGAATTTCATGCTGCAGTAAAGCGAGCGGGGCCGCGAGAAACGCTGCGGGGCGGGGCGGGCGGCGGGCGGGGCGGGGCGGGGCGGGGCGGGGCGGGGACGCGCAGAAATGATTCACGCGTTTCGGAGTCGCACACGCGTTGGTGGTACCATGTATTGAGCCCAACCTGATCTTAATTAAATGATAAGTAACTTGCCAGTAATATGAGCATTATTGAGTGTTATAATTTTCCCTGAAGTCCTGTACCGACGAGCAGCACACAGAGGACCATAAGACCGGTGGAGGCGGCCAAAATTCTATGTGCGTTTTGAGCTCCAGAGTCGCTTAATGGGACTCGAACCGAACGTGTGACCCCACCAATGGATTCCTCGATCGGAGAGCAAATGGTGGGTCACACGCTCGGTTCCAGTCATTTTTAGTGACTCTGCAGCTCAAAACGCGTCCGGGATTTCAACCGCTTCCAATCCACTGTGCGACGAGCATGCTGCAGCACTCACCGAACACGTTGAGGCGGTAGGCCACGGTGACCACGACGACGCCCTCGGCGGCCAGGTCCTGCGCCGGCAGCTGGGCGGGCGACCCCGTGACGAAGCCGCGGCCCTCCAGGACGACCATCACGGGCACGGGGCGGAACGCCGTGGCTCCCTGGAATAATGCAGGCGTCTGACGTCACGGCCAAAGGAGCGGACAATCGCCAGTCAAACCCGCACCGAATTATTTAGCCGGCTGTCTGGCTATGAGCACGTTTAGTGCCCTGGTGCCGGCCCCTGTCCACGAGGGGGGAGGCCACCGGCGGATGGCGGGGACAATGGGACTGACCTGTCAGTACCCCGCGCGCGAAAGACACTGCCATGCTGCCTTCGGGCCGGGCTCCTGCAGGCGGGGTAGTGACGGTTTTCTTCGCGCGCGAAGACCTCATCAATACCCCACGCGCGAAAGACACTGCCATGCTGCCTTCGGGCCGGGCTCCTGCGCGCGGGGTAGAGACGGTTTTCTTCGCGCGCGAAGACCTTGTCAATACCCCACGCGCAGTCCGAGCATCGAGGTTCTCTCACGCGCGGAGGAAGGAACAGGGTCGGAAGTTGGTTTGCTTGCAAGGGAAGACCTCTAGGACTGAAGAGTCGGCCCACGCCGGCTGCGGTACACTGTGCGGCCGCTCACCTGTGGCTCCGTAGAGGCGGGTCAAAGACGGGCAGGTGCTAGGGCGGGCGAAGCGGCGAGGCTGCGAGGAGCGGCAGGTGGTGCTGTGCCGCGTCCGCGCGTCCGGCTCTTTAAACCCCCTCAGGTTGCCTTAGGCTGCCCCGGGCTGCCCTGGGCTGCCTCGGGCGGCGAGTGTTCGTGTTCCCAGTCGCCGCCATTCGTGCGCTGCGCCGCTGTGCCCGCCACAGTGTGCCCGCCACAGTGTGCCCGCCACAGTGTGCCCGCCACAGTGTGCCCGCCACAGTGTGCCCGCCCGCCTCTCCCGAGCGGTCTTTGTCATGCAGAATTCAGCTCGACTCACCTCCGGGGCCCAGATGTTGAGGAAGAGACAGTCCTCGTCCTGCTCCTGGAGGCCGAGGCCCAGCCCCAGCCCGTCCGAGGCCAGGGCGGCGGCCAGGCCGGCGGCGGTGCCGGTGCCGCGCGCGTCGGGCTGCGGGCAGGCGGCGCGGAAGGACGTCGCCGACAGTGTGCCGTTCCAGCCCCGGTGCCGCGCGGGCGCCTGCAGCATCGAGAACTCGGGCTCACAAATCCACGAATAATTCAGGGCTCTAGAAATACCCTCAGGCTTATCTGGCATGAAACAGTGAAGTGTGAGAAATGAAATTTAGGATCTTAAAATCAAGTAGAGAGGAGAACTTCGAGGTCCAATGAAAAGATGGGAAACTTTGAAATTGCAGTATGAGAAATTCGGAGAGGTGCAGGGCCTGCAGGGCACGGTCGCAGACGGGCAGCAGGTGGCCGTCGCGGACCGACGCGCGGAAACATTCGGCGCCGCGCCACGCTCCATTTTGCTCCCGGGGGGCGCCACGCCACGACGCCACGGCCCCGGGCCAGTCCGCGCCCGGAACGCCTGGAACGCCCTGAAGCCCTCACTCCTTTTTGCTTAGCCCAGCCAGTCCGGGGGCGGCAGACATATGTCCCCTCCCTCCACAAATTCAATTCGGGAGGCGTGGTGGGGGAGGGGGAGGGGAGGGGCTCCTCAGATACAGCAGAAGTGCAAAACTCTTCTTAGAGCGGCAGTTGTGCGCATGAATATAACATAACCGCGCCGAGTACACAAACCTTCCCCAGCTTATCCGGGCCTGAAATTTACATCCTCGGTGGGCTTATTTATTTCCTTATTTCGTGTCCTGGGCGGGGCGGGGCGGGGCCGGACGGGGCGGTCGCAAACCGCGACCTCGGAGGCTTGGTGCCGCATCAGTCTTGCAGTGCGCTAGGTCAGGGTGGCGTGCGGAACGTTGAAAGATGAAAAAACAATGAAACAATAATCGAGCGAATAAACATTGCAACGACCGTCTGCCGGTCCGTCTGTCTGTCCCGTCCGTCCGCCCGCCCTGCCGCGCCGGGCTGCCGCGGTGCGTCCCATTTCTCGCAGACAGAACAGGCTGACTCCCTGGGGCTGCGACGTGTAGGGCGGCAACATGTTGGGCGGCACGTGCACCCCTTAACAGTCCCTCCCCCTCCACCCTAACCTCCCTCACGCCCTTCTCCGCGTACCGCGGGCATGGCGCGGGCATGGCGCGGGCATGGCGTTGGCGCAGGCCCCGCGTTATCCAAGTTTACTGTGCTCTCGTCGTCCTTCGGGTCCTGCTCCTCTTCGTACTGCTGCCTGCAGGAGCAGGCCTCCTCGGCGCAGCACACGCGGGGCGACGCGGGGCGAGGTCGTCTGATCTGCGCCGGTCTTCTGGCCCACTGTGTGGCCCGCTCTGGCCCGGCTGCAGCGCAAACTTCGTGATGAGTTGATGATTGAAGAAGACGGTGGTATTGAACACCGACGACGTCTGCGTCTTACAGCTAGCGCTGCTGTAATTTCCTTCGCCATATCAAGTCGAATAATCAGCCATTCCACACGCCAACACTCCGCTGGCGACACAATCTCAGGACCCCATCTTGGTCTTGTTTGACCCTCGCCCACAATAAACTAGCGATCCCCCTCCCCCGTCGCGACGCAGGCTGCGCAGGCCGTGCTGAAGGCAGCGGGGCCCAAATTAATCCTACCCACTACAAGCTCCCCACCCTCCACGGTTCCATTCCATGCTTTGCACTGCTCTCCACTTGCGCGGTGGGCAACCCGACCAACCCGACCCGCCCAAACCCAGCGCGCTGCCCTGCCCACCCGGCGCACGTCTCTGTCTCTCTCGCACCTGACGCCCCTCGAGTGCGAGAAGGACAGAGCACGCGGGCTTTACTCACCGAGAAGCGCAGCTCTCCGATGGGCGGCTCGGCGTAGGGGACGCCCAGGTAGGCGAGGACGCCCTGCCGGGTCTCCGTCAGCACGCGCATCTGGAACGACAAGAACGGGCTCAGTGACGTCATCCTGCTGCGAGGCCGGGGAGCGGAGACATTTGTGCTCGGCGAGGACAAACTCAGTGTGGTAGAACACGAGGTTGCTCCCGTGGTGAGATGGGCGAACTGTCTGGTGAGCTACTACTCGCGCACCCTCGCTGGAGGCTAGGTCGTTAGGTGCGTGTGGCTCCATCCCACTGTCTCCCCGGCCGGTCCCTGATAGACTTTCCAAGTCTTTCCCCTCCCCGCTGACGGAACAGACTCCCCCCCCCCTTTTCGGACCGAATCGCGCGCCGCGCTGGATTTATCGCGCGCTCCGAAGCTCCGAAGCGCAACGCATTTTCATATTTTACGGCGCCAGATGAAACGTCGCTCGCCTCGGAGCGCTTCGGAGCGCCGCCACTTATCCCCGTTTTTAAAACCCGCCCCGCGAGCCGCGGGCCGCCGAGCGGAGCGGAGCGCAGCCCGATTACGAATGCCCCTGCCTGCGCGAGGGGGGGGGAGGCCGTGAAGGTGAATATGAGGGGGCTGCCTTCTTCAAGTGCTTCCGCAGCGGCCGGCTGGGGTGCGAATAGGGAAAAGGGGCGGGGGAGGGGGCGGCCGTACCATTGGGGAAAGTGGGCGATGGAAGATGGTGGGACGGCGCGCCGCGGCGGGCCCAGGGCAGGGCCGGGCCCAGGGCGGGGGGGCCCTCTGACTCGAGATATGGCAGTGGCCGCTTGAAATCGCCACGACGCGCGAAGCGAGGCCAGCAGCGTAGCCGGCGTAAATAATGTAAAGCCGATGGCATTGCCCGAGGAGCGGGGCTCGTCCGTCGATACGACCCCCACCACCTTTTTAGCCAGGGTCTTCCGCGTCGCGATGAATTAGCAAACGGCAAAACTGCGAAAACTAAAATCAGCTCGCGTCGGACCGTGAGAGCGCGCGCGAGAGTTGTCGAGCTCGGTCAGGCGGCTGGCAGGCAGTGCCGGGGAGGCGCGAACTTCGCAGTGCCGGCACGGCGTCAGCGGCACGGCCAGCTAGGCTAGTTCGCCTGCGGAATAATGCATCCTCGCATGTTGGCCTCCGTGCCTGAAGGCGCCTCGCTGGGCAGAGCCTGGCAGAGCCAAGCCGAGGCGTCCAAGTCCAAATTTGCACGCAATCACGATCGGCATGCCAGTTCCGGGGGCGTCTGTCACACGCCCCCACGCACCGCCACGCACCGCCACGCACCGCCACGCACCACGCCTAGATCTGCCTGCCCTGCCCTGCCTGCCCTTGTCTAATCTGAAATTAATCGGCGGCGAGACGTTCGCGTGGTTTGCGTATCGCGCGGTTTGCGTCAACGGGGCGGGGCGGGGTGGCGGGGCGTCCAGGCGGCGACGAGACACGACAGGGTCGCCGGAGCCGCAGGCCGGAGGGGTAAATTGATTCACAGAACGGAAGCCGAGTGTATTCCGCGTGGGAACGGGGAGGAGGGGGGGGCGGACTACGCGCCGAGTGCCAAGTTAGTTAAGTCGGATCAAGCAAGCGGCTCGAACGGGTTATACAGTCAGCGGGGCGGCGGCGGCGGGTGTTGCCGGAAAGGCTGACTTTGCGCGCCCTGATGCCCCGCCCCGCCCCGCCCCGCCCCGCCCCGCCCCGCCGTGCGACGAGGCCGAAGCCCGAAGCCAGGACGGCTGCCGGGACCCCCGATTCAAAGTCGCCGCGTTCGATGTGACACGGCCGGCTTGGCTGAATGTATAAAACAGGAGTGGCCCGGCTTTCAAAACTCGCGCGCCCTTTCCGACTTCCCTATTCTCCGCCAGCCCCGCCCCGCCCCGCCCCGCGGTATGCAGCCACTTTGCGCCCTGCACTACATCTCGCGGCTCCCGGCTCCGCGAGCTCCAACGCGTGGCGGCAGCGTGGCGGCAGCCTTTGGGAGGCTTTCCGAGGCGGCTGCCTGTGAGGCGGCCTGTGAGGCGCAGAGCAGAGCAGCCACTTTGGCCGCCATTACGCAGTCCGCGGCCACGCCGCAGCGCCACTGCCAAAGCCACGGCGGGCCTGCACTTGAAATTCCGCGTGATTGGCGCCTGTCGATGCAGGGGGTGTCTGAAGTGGGGGGCCCGGGCTTGCTTCTCCCCCCCCCCCAGAAGACACCATCGCTGTGCCTGGCTTTGCCACACCTGGGTGAGCGTAACCCCCTGGTAAGTCGTTGTCGTTCCACTTGGAGCCCGAGTCGTCCATCACTCAATCGGCTGAAAGCTGGGGAAATAAGGAAGGGGGAAGAGGAGGGAGAGGAAAAACGTAAATGTGGGGCATTTGGAGATGAAGTCATTTTGTGGAAAGACGCGCTCGAGAGCTGGTCGGGGGAAAACGTCTTGATTTGGACGACGCGCCTGCGGCGTGGAGTGCTCCGAGCGACTGAGAGCGGAGACAATTTTTCAGTCCCCACAGATTATATTTTTTGATTTCCCCTTTTTTGATCCACAGACCATTTTTCACGTCCAACAGACCAACGCGAGGATCGGATGAGAAGATGAAGAAGAAGGAGCAGGAGAATAGGAAGAAGAAGAGGAGGAAGAAGAAGAAGAAGAGAAGAAGAAGAAGAAGGAGAGGAAAAGCGGTCTGCCTGCAATAAGTACTGCAGCGCCAAGGGGTTGTAAAAAGGGGAGGGGTAATGAGCTCTCAGCGACTCGGCGGGACTCGGCGCGGGACTCGGCGGGACTCCAGTGACTCCAGTCGACGGCGTGCCCGCGCTGCCTGCATGGCGCCCTTGCCCGCGGCGCCGGCGCGCCGACGGCGACCTCTGGCGGTGCAGTGCAGTGTCGTAATCACCGGCCTGCATGTCGAGCATTGTCCCGGCGCTGCTGTTCGGCCCGACAATTAACGCGTATCCACAGAGGCACGCCGTGGCACGCCGCGGCACGCCGAGAATGGAGCCCTTAAAAGGCGCCCTCGACACGGCCTCGACGCCGGGCAGGGGCTTGGATTCGAAGCGCCCCTGTTGCTGTTTGAACTGCAGCGCCGCGAAAGCACACTGCAAACTGCGACAACGCGCTGTGTGTCGTTGGGCCCAGCAGCCGCTCGGTCCGAACCGAACGGCCACAAATTTGGCAACGCGGCCGGCAGGCGGCATATCGTGCCGGCGGGAAGGGAACCGCGGGAACATGGGATATCCCAGGCCGGATATAGTCTATCCACGGTCAAGCGCACGGGCCGCGTCCGGGGCGGCGTGTTGTGGTGGCGTCGCGTCGTCATGGCGTCGCGACGCGTCGCGCTGGTCACACTCGGCCGGCCGGCCGGGCTGCGTGCGAAGCGAGGCGACGCGGCGCGGCCACTTCCGGTCCTTCCGGTGCACAGCGCCGCGGCGAGCCGCCCGGAGCGTCGCTCTGTCTCTCCCGCACTCCCACGGGACGCGACTGGAGTGCGAGAGAGACAGAGCGACGATAGCACTTTCGGCACCACCGGCACCAGCCAGCAGGCCGCAGTCATAGTTCGTCTGAACGTGGTTGGAACGTTAGGTGCACTCCACCCTGGTATATGTTTACAGTGTGGGACCTCGTCGAGACTCACCCCGCGGACCGCGCCCTGGCTCAGCAGCACGGACGACTCCTGCGGGCCCAGCTGCACGCCGAGGGCCATCTTCACCACCTGCAGCAGCAGCGCCAGCAACGCCAGCAGTCGGGGACCTGCAGCACACAAGCAGGCCGGCAGCACTTATTGGACAAACTTAACAGAAGAAGCCTCTGTTTTTGTTTTATTCCGGCGACAAAAAGGAGCCCGGGCCGTATCCTCGCCCCCGCCCTCCAAGACCGACCGGCCGACCGACCGGCCCTGCAGTCGAGGCCCTTGCACTACTTCTTCTCGGTCACGTCCCGTGCCGTGCCGCGCCTTGCTGTGCTGTGCTCTGCTGCAGCAGCTGGATGGACGCGCCGAGTGCACAACGAAACACGTCACATGGAACTCTCCCACACCAGTTACAACTGTCCAATTCATTGTGATAACTCGGGTTGGAATGGAAAATAAACGAAAACTTTCAAAGTTTCAAACTCAAATTTCTAAACCAATTGAAGAAACATGGAAAAATTTTCAGATAATTCGGAAACTTTGAACCTTGCTTAGAACACTTTTCTCAAGGCTACGTACTTTTATTTTTTTTTTAATTCTCTTAATTTTTTTCTGAAATTTTTGGACTCAAGCAGTGGCTTAGTGGTTTAGTGGGTCTAATGCAGAGAAAGCGACTGTGATCGCGGGGTTTGCTCCGCCCGCATGTGGGGCCAGGCCAGGCCAGGCGCCCCCGAGCCCCCGCGGCCCAGACGGCGCGCCCCGCGTGGAACGCATGGCGCAGGCCCGGGGCGCACATGCAGGCTATCACAGAGCCCGTATGAGTGAGAGAGAGGGACCGCCAATTCGGCACTCGTTTTCGGTACAGTAACTTACTTTCACCGAGTGGCGACGGATAGTTTGAAAGTAAGAGGTGCTGCTCACAGCCTGGGTTTCCCCAGCTCAAATTTTTGCAATTTTTAATTGACTGTCTGCGAATGGCTTGAACGGACCCTCCAAATCGCATTTCTGTTCATAAATTTTTAGTTGTCATTTTATAAAATTGGCAGGCGAGGCTCGCCAATATCGACCCTGGCATTTTTTTTCGCCAAGAAACTGTGGTGTGGCAGTTTTCGCTTCGATTCTTTAGCAGAGTTCGTCCCCAATGTGGGTCATCCGTGCCGCGCCGGCCAAGCCGGCCAAGCCTAATGCGAAACGAATGCTGCCCCGTCTGGCCGGCCTTCCCGCCGTAATCTCCGCTTTCTCTCAAAAGAGAAGCCAAGGCTTTGACAAAGCTCTCCTAGAGACCGGTGGCCGCGCGGAGCTGCGGAGCCAGCGCGGAGGGAACTCCCGCTAGACGCGCGCTATTTTGAATGGCTCAGACAGGCGGTCCGGGCGGTTTGGCGAGGAATAAAGGAGTAAGCCCCCGCGAGGCCAGACGCAGCAGACGCAGCCAGACGCATCACAGTGGACCGGTGGAGGCGGCCAAAACTCGAGACGCGTTTTGAGCTCCAGAGTCACTAAACAGGACTCGAACCGAACGTATGACCCCACCGGCCACCCCACGCGGACGCGCGCCAAAAAGGAACTTTCATAGCCTCGCGACAAAAAAATTAAAAACATAAAAGAGTAGTAAAATGCCACAAAGCCGTCCCGTCCCCCATAAGGTTCAGCCGGCGGGGCTGCGGGGCCAAATGGTGCGCCAGCATCTCCAGTAGTCTCTCCAGTCTCTCCAGCAGCGGGGCGTACCGCGCCATCAGGACTGGCTCTCCAGGGCTCTGTCAAGTGGACAAATGCTTCTTTAAATGGAGTTTCTGTCCGACGCCACGCGGCCTCATCCCGCTATCGCGGTCCCCGTCGCACGCGGTGGACGGCAGTGCGAGGGAGAGAGGTGGAGGAGTGCCCCCCCCCCCTCCTCGTACAGCCCCTTTCAAAACGCGATTTATGGCGCGAGGATTTCGTAGTTCCTTCCCGCCTGCATGTGCACAATCGTGTTGGGAAGCGCTGCGAGCGATTTGAGACGTTACGCCACTCGCCGAAAGTTGCCCCCCGAACGGAACGGATCCAGGAGCAAGTTCTATCAGTGTAGTGACCCAGTCCGATGATTGGCGTGGAGAGACCTTCATGCCGCGTTTCTATTTTCGGTTCGCGGCGTGGCAGCAGCAAGGACACTGGCGGCGAGATATCGAAGCGCCTCGCGCCGCGCGCGGAGTGGCGGAAAAGGAAATGAAAATGGCGAAAAACAGTCCCAAAAAAGAAAGTGAAAATGTGAAAATCCGGCTTTACTTACTCGCCATCTCGGCGCTGTCAAGGCCCTCTGCGCTGTCCCTGCCGGGGTGACGGGTACCAGCCCATCGAGGACGGACGTCACCGAGGGCCTCTACGTGGTTCTCGACGTGATCCTGGAGGCAAGCCGGTTGGTGCGGCGCCCGGACCCCCGCCGAGCCTGCCCGCCAACATGAGGGGGCCTGTCCACGACCGCCAGGGCCTCCAGGACGAGCTGGTCACACGACACTGGAAGTGGTCGCGGCTACGGCCGAGTCACAAAGTGGTTGCACAGGTCAAGGGGGCCGTCGCGAAATGCACACGACGGTCACAAAGAGGCACTAAAGTCGGCTCTCGATGGCCACACTGGTCACAAAATGATCACTCCACGCGGCCAAGCGCGCTCGAATGATTCACTGGCTGGTCAGTACAAACTGGTCACAAACTTGTCACAAACTGGCAACAAACTGGTCACAAACTGGTCACAGACGCGGCACGAACACACCGAACCACCCACTGAGCTGCCGCGAACCGGTCACTGGCCGACGGCGTGGCGAGACTAGAAATGGGTGCGATACTGATGGGTGGCCGCCTCGCGCCTGGTTGGCAGTGTCCTCGACGCGGTCCTGGGCGCGCGGCGCGACGCACCGATCCGGTCGACGGCGTGGCGGAAACTGGAGCTGTGGACCGGGCCGCCGCCGGAAGTACCGCACCGGAGCATGTGCACTGTGTGTGTGTGCGTGCGTGTGTGTGATCGGGTGTGAGTGAGTACGTCGCGCTTGTGATTAGCGGCAAGGCACGGTACGGGCCGCGCTGCGGTGCTGCGGGCACGGCGGCCACGGGAGGGGCAGGCCCCGCCCACCGCACCCACCGCGCCCGGGCCCTGCGGTCGCCGTCAAACTGCCGCCAATGCAAACAATGTTTTCCAAGTCTGAGGTGGCCTGATCGACGCTGGGCAATGGGCCGCCGAAGTGCGGCAGCGAGAGTCTCCGCCACGACGCCGAGGACGCTGATTGGCTGCTCGGTGCACTTGGCGGCGTCGAGGCGCGCCACTGTGGGAGACGCGTGTGCGGCGCGTGTGTGGCGGCCCGGGCGACGCGCCGCGACGCGCCGCGACGGAAGCAGGCTGGTCGATGTTCCTATTTCGTATTCATTGCTTGTTCCCGCGAAGCCCCCACTAAAGCGGCCCGCCCCGCGCCGCGTCTCTCTCGCGCCCAGACGGCCTGCCTTGCTTGCCTCGCGAGTGCGAGAGAGACACCTCCCAATCGAAATCAGTCTGCGGGGCAGCGCAGCCCCGGCCCGCCAAGCACCCCGATTCTCTTTCAATGTGCTCTGGGCGCGGATACATGCTATAGTGGCAGCAGCGCACTGATTCCGAAGAGGCACTTCGTCTCGTTGTCTCCGTCACACTCATGGGGCGCCACGAAGGGGTGTGAGAGAGACACGAGAACAAAGCGACTTTTCGGCAGGGACAGGCGCGGCGCCGTCGGGGTCCTTGGAGGCCTGGAAGGCGCTGGAACATCCTGGAGACCGCCTGGAACATCCTGGAGACCGCCTGGAGACCGCCTGGAACGTCGGCAAGGACGTGGGGTGCGCCAGGCAGCCCCAGGCAGCCCCAGGCGGCGGCCTGGATCAGCAGGATTCGGGTAACGGGAGCAACGGGAGCAACGGGAGCGCCTGGATGGAGGCTGCAGATTACGCTAACAGGGAGTACAGGGAGTACAGGGCGGCCGCGTCGCCCTCCCCTTCCCCCACTGCTTCCTTCCAGAGCCACGCGGAGGCGCCACCGTACCACGGCCATGCGAGCCGTCATTAACCTCAGCCTGTCCAGCGAGCGCTGGAATGAACCCGTAAAGTCGGGCAGTGCCCGCGCTGCCCGCGCACTCCGCCAACAGCTCCATGAAGGCCCTAGCCGTGGAGGCCGTGAAGGCCCCAAGCGGCGGCGCGCACCGCCACAGCACGGCGATGAGGCCGCGACGACAAGGGGATCGGGTGTCCCGGTGCATCGGATCCCCGGCGTACCTGCGCTGCATCGCGCCAGACCGCGGCATCTGGGGCGCCACTTGCATTTTCAAGGGCCGTTCGCCGCGACGCCGCGACGCCGCGACGCCGTGAGGTTGCGTAATGCGGCGCCGTTTCGCTCCCTCTCTCTCGCACTCGTGGGGCGTCCCGGATGGGTGCGAGAGAGACGGAGCGATGTTCGACCGGCAGGCCGTGAAACTGGAGGACCCGGCGGTGTCCGCTGTCCCGGGGCGCACGACGACGGCGGCGTCTCGTGTGTGCACCGCAAAGGGTGCAGGATTAGCGAGGGGGGGGGGACGTCGTCGGGTGCCGATTGAGCCGATCTACCCTGCGCTGCGCCCGACTTCTAAATGTAGCTCAGAATTAGGTCTTCCGAGACGGGGTTGAAACAAGAGCAGGGTGTGAGTGAAGAGTGCCGCGACGATGCGGGAGTCGCTTTGATCACGTCACTCCCGATTACCTGCCGGAGAAATCCCCGGCGAGTTTGCTCTTCGTCTGTTTGTTTCGCGGGCAAAGTTTTCAGTGCAGAACCTTGTGCGGACCGGCCGGGACCGCCCCCCGCCCCCGCGACTCACACTCGCGCGCCCGGCCCGCACGCTGTGGTGCCGCTGGTCGTGCCGGTGAGATGTTTCCCCGGTTATCCGCTAATTAACACTGGACACGGCGGCGGCCCAACTCCCCTGCTTCTGCTCCGGGGCGCCCGGGGGTGGGGGGAGCAGGGGGAGACGGGTCGAGGAGAGATTCGATTCCGAGCGGGCAGCCGACGGCCAGCCGACGGCAGCCGACGGGCAGCGCACGCTTCGGCGACCTCTCATTTCCGGTTCCGCCAAACACCGATCGGCCAAACACGCCCAACACATCCCGGCGTCCCGGCGTCCCGGCCGTCCCGGCGCCCAGACGGGGCGGGGACCCAGGCCGGCCGGGCCCGCCGGTGTTGTTGTTGTGTACCTTTCCACCTCCTCTGCGATTCACGATTCACAGATCGCGCGATAGCCCGGCCCTGGCCCGGCCACGGCCCGGTCCGCAAACTGCCCCGCCAACCCTTCACGCTCGGCCGCGCGCCGAGGCCGACGCCGAGGTCCCGGGTACCCGGGTAGATATGCTGCGTAGATACACCGCGCGCCGGGGACTTTGCCTTCGGAGTATCCGCGCACTCACGCATCTACTCAGCGCAAAGCACACACACACACACAGGCACACAGACTCACACACACACGCGCGCGCGCGGACCGCACGGCCATCAAACAAACGCGTCTGCAACAAGCCAACAACAGCAACAACAACAATGACAACAAGGATAAACTAGAGGCAGCGCAAGGAGCCCTGCTCCTCCCGCCAAGGCTGGAGGGTCTTTGCTCCGGTGACGTTGGCCAGAGTCCGGCATATATGTGTCCAGCCCTGCATTTTTAATGAACGTCTTGTTCTCGAGCGCGTTCGTGTGTGTGCGTGTGTGCGCATGCGCGCGCACGTGTGTGGGAGAGAATGCAGAGAGAAGCGATGAAGGGTAGGGTACCTCCATTATACACAACAAGATTTTATGAGCACTTGTGTACAGTCCCTGTGTACACCGGCAGCGCTGAACTAAAGTACACGTGGAAGAAAACTGCAAAGTGTGCTCGCGAAATTTCACCTTGATAACACAAGAGAAGATGATGTTGTTTTGGTATCGTCGACTAAGGTCTTTTTGTCGAGGGGAGGGGGTCATTTTCTTGTCTCCGTCTTGTGGCTTCAGACTACTTGACCCCGCAAACGGTGGACAAGTCGGCCCAAATGAGGCCCGGCCGCGAGTTGAAGACTGTGGCGCGGGCCTCCCAGCCACTCAGTGGTTCTCTGTGCTAGCACAGCTGTAACGACCAGAACTCGGAAAAAGTTGGAGCCACACAGCGAGTTGCGGCGCGCCGCGGCCCAGCCCGGACTGCCTCGCACTGCCTCGCTGGCGGAACGGGACGGGCAACGGGCATCGGGCGACGCTCGCCCCTTCGACAGGATTCCCTTTCAAGTGTCACCAATCGATGTCTCGACAAAGGAGATCCACCGCCAGGCAGGCAGGCAGCCAGGCCGCCAGGCACAGCACGGCGAAGGCAAACAGCCTTTCGGGAGGCACCGGCACCGCCCGCCCCGCCCGCCCCGCCTAACTGGCAGGTGTCTGCCGAGCAATATTCCGAAATGCACGTCGCTCTGTCTCTCTCGCACCCCTACGGGACGTCCCGTGAGTGCGACAGAGACAGAGCGACGAAAGCGACTCTTCGGCGTCCCCCTGCCGGGAGGAAGGGCTGAGACGAGGGACCGGAGTGGGGGTGGGGAAGCGGGTTGGGTCGGCAAGACGCCGCTCTGCTTTTCGTCCAAGTGTCAGCACTATCTCTGCACGCCCCGGACGGCCCGCAGTCGATCCCCGGAAAAGCTTCATTTATAGTGTAGAGCCGTGTCCTTGCAAAATGGAACGCCAACGCCCGGCATGGCCCGGCCGGTGCGCTGACGTGTCACCGGACGTCTTCCCGGCCCGCCGGCCCGCCCCCGCCCTTAGCCTTGCCCATCACGTTGCTGGCCGGGACAGCCAGCCGGGACAGCCAGCCTGTCCTCCACCTTCTTAATTTTGAGCCTGCCTCCTCCAACCTCCTCCCCTCGCGACCGAGATGGCGGAAGTTGTGCTTGCGCGTCGTAATGGAGCGTTTTCATTAGCTTCTTTTTTTTACGAGGTCGTTGTGTGTCGCGGTGGGGTGGGGCGGGTCGGGGCGGGTCGGGGCGGGTCACCGCAGCGCGCCCGGAGGTCCTACGGCCCTGCCCCGCCACGCCGGCATGCTGGTTGTGTTGCCTACCCTCGGGTCGGCGGGCGCTCTTCGCTTCGCAGACTTCGCAGCGGGGAGCGACGATCGTGTCATTGTTTTCTTGCAGTGCATCAGCGTGTTTTAGTTTTTAGTTCCAATTCTCGATCCCGTCCCAGTGGAGGCGCAACGTCTCGTCCTACCGTGAGATGGCGAGATGCTGAATAAGAAATGTCTGGCTGTTTGTGTTGCTGAGAGGCAGGTTTCAACTATTTAGCAGTCCACTGCCTCGCCGGATGCCGGGTCGCTCCTCGTACGCAACGTCAAAGATTCATTTTCAAGAAGTGTCTGGAGCGAAAATAAGTCTGGCGTCGCCAGGGACGGGACGAGTTTGAACTCCGCGCGGCGCGGTGGCGCTGGCGCTAGTTCGGGCGCTGCCCGCGCGGAGACCGCGGCAGCACTGGCGCCGTTTGATGACGCAAGCCTGGCAAGCCCCCTTCTGCCCCTGCGTCGTCTGCTGGCCGCAACCCGCCGCGCCGCCGCCGCTCAGTTGGGTGCGCGCCGTGCGAGTGTTTGCATCCGACGTCGCGTCGTCTGCTCCGCTCCGTTCGGTCACGCTCACGACTCGCGAATTTCCGCCGGCGAATACTTACGTTTGTGTTCACGGTCGAGCGTCGAAGTCGGGCTCGGACTGCCACTGTTGTCCGGTTTTGTGAATGTGATTCGCCGCAAAGTGGCGTGAAAATGCGTCGTGCCGGGCTTTCTGTGCTGGGCTGTGTTTGTTAAAACGCGCCATGGAAAAGCAAGTGTTTATAAGTGGAACTGTCAACAAACCAGGAGTGAGGTTATGTGCAGTGATGTGTTTGTGAGATTTGTGTGAAGCCTGCTGCCCAGGGCAGAGTCCTGTGGTCAAAATGCAGGCCAAGAAACGATATCTTCTAGTCTTGTTATCATGTGCCTTCTTAGCATACTGTTATTTTGGAGGCTATCGGTTGAAGAGCAAAAATGTTATTCCCATCAAGCAAGGACTTCCTCACTTTTTAGACGTGACTGACCAGCTTTACGACAGTGATGTGGACTCATCTCCACACATACGTCGAATGGGAGAGTTCCAAGGAGACAATTACAGCAAGTGTCGGATGGAGACATGCTTCGATCTTGAACGCTGTCGTGCAGACTTTAAAGTTTATGTTTACCCTTCAGCAAGTGATAGTGAAAGTGATGTCGATGCGGAGTTGCCTACACCACCTCAGAGTCCTGCCTACCAAAAACTGCTCAACGTAATTATAGAGTCAAGATATTTTACTTCCGATCCAGCACAAGCGTGTTTATTTGTCTTGGCAATAGACACATTAGACAGAGATTCACTTTCTCCTGATTATGTGAGAAATGTCCAGGCTCGCGTTCAAAGGTTGAGATTGTGGAATAATGGACGTAACCATGTCATCTTCAACTTATACTCTGGGACGTGGCCGGAATACCTCGAAGAGAGTTTAGGTAAGTAACCCTTCCTATTGTCAATATCCTCCTTAAATTCATTGGGTGTCTAAATTGGATTGAGTTTGCTTTGGTTGATGGAAAATATGAATGTCTTTGAGTAGACCTCTGAATTGTTTTTCATTTCACCCTTCACCCTGTGGTTTTCCGACTGTGTCCAAGCTCATCATAAACAATGAAATATTTTATGGCTTCAGGAAAAGCCTCCTCGAAATTACCCTCTCCCAATAGTGAAAAAAGCCAATCATAGTACACTGATGCAGGTAACTTACCATTCCATTCCTTCAGTAAATTTCAATCCATTTGTTAGGTTTTAGGCTTTCTTCTGGTTCTTGAGATTTTTCTATGCATTTTCATGATTATTGTATACCCTCAGCCGGTCGTAGTGTGTGTGTTTTGTAGCTTTTTCGCGTCGGGGGGACCACAGCGTTGAGGTTATGGCGCTGGTTGTTTACGCCCGATGGGCGACATAACCTCCTGCTTGTGCTGACAGTCCGGCTATCGACTCCCTTCTTTCGCAGATATCAATTTCAGAATGAAGTTGACAGTGCCTCCTTCATCGCTTCATTTGTTTATTTTTTAAGCAGGGTTCAGTTTTTTAAATCTGTATCATGTTCAATTCATGTTTTTCATGCTAGCGTAGTTTGCGATGCCAAAACCGTTGTCTGAATTCCACACACTTTAAGTGTCTTACATCTTACACAGTCTTTAAACCCCAAATCTTTGAAAATTCAACACTCATTATAAATAGTTCTAGTGTGGTAGAGAGTCTTGTTAGCTCCTTTATTGAAAATAAATTGTTAATGTCAGAAAGTAGTGTTCACCCGGCAATAAAATAATTGACGCATGGCAAATAAATCAATAAACTGTCAGAAACTTAAAAAAAAAAAATTTAAACTGAATACTAGGGGGTTGCCTGTGATTTGAATGATCCTCCTCAGTTCTGTCCGGGTTCAAAAATTAATGAGAGAGAAATATGCAAGGCTTGTTTCACTGTGGTCCCTGCCAAAAAAATCGCTTCTGTTTGACTTTTGATTTGAAAAAATGAGAAAGGGGGATGGGGGCTTGTAAAAAAGTTGGGAGGCACTGCAAAGTGTGCGATGTTGTCTCTGGGAAACATGCCCCAATAATATTAACGGAAGGGGCCCACCAGGCCAGGCCACCAGGCCGAGCGTGGCTCCCCAGAGAATCCGCCCACCACCTGCTCTCTTCCGCCCCTCCCCCTCCCCTCGGCTCCGTCCCGGCTCCAGCCTGGCTCCAGCCTGGCTCCAGCCTGCCCGAAGCCCTCGCAAGTCTCCCGGCATATCTGGAAAGTCGGAACGACTGAATTTTGGCCGCCGCTGCCGCTGCCGTGTTTGTGTTTCGGAAACTCACGGCCCGCTGTGCCGCGCCGCGCCGCACCGCTGCGCCAACCAACTTTTATCTTTGGTGGTTTTACGATGGTGACCTACACCAGTCTAGGCTAGGCCAGGGGGGAGTGAAGGGACGGGGTCCGGACGAAGGGAAAGGGAGGGGGGGGGAGGCCTCGGGGTGCAAGGGGTTGGGGAAGGCGGCGCCCCGTGGAGTGTGAGTGATTTGTTTTGAAGGGTAAAGCAGGGGAGGGGTGGGGTGGGGCACCTCTTGGAGTGAACGTTCCCGCGAGGCAGCGGGGCAAAAGGGGGGGGGGGTGCAGGCAAAATGACGGCGATAAGGTAATCGGCCGTTGATGTCGAAGCCGAACAGGACGGGCGCCGCCTCGTCTCGTCTCCCTGCAGTCTGCTGGCAGTGTGCTTGCAGTGTCCCTCGCACGTCTCGAACGCGTCGATCGGCACAAAAAAGAATCTTGATTCATGTCATGGCTCCATTCATGTTATTTTATGAGAAATTCGAGGAGAAAGGCCTCCGGATCAACCCATTTTGTTCCCCAAATTTCTATAAAAAAGATTATTTTTTAAAGAAATGGTATGAAGCAAATAGAAAATGACTCCGTGCCTTAGAGCACTTGCACTGCAACAAAAATAAAAAGGCGTTTCGACTGTTTACAGTGTAGGACGGCACGCCGACGGCACGCCCTCCTCTTGCCGGCTCGGCTTTTCCCTGCTCCAAATAAAGCTGGCCGATAGCATCTGAACGGCCTGCAGCGTTGCCCGGCCTGGCCAGGGCCCGGCCGAGGGCCTGCACTGTAACGCCACTAACGCCCTTCGGCCTTCCTGCCCCACAGGCTTCAACCCCGGCATGGCCATCCTGGCCAAGGCGAGCATGTCGACGGCCAGCTTCCGGCCCGGCTTCGACATCTCGATCCCGCTCTTCCACAAGAACCACCCGGAGAAGGGCGGCGAGCCGGGCTTCGTCACGTCCAACAACTTCCCCGCCGCCAAGAAGTACCTGCTGGCCTTCAAGGGCAAGCGGTACGTGCACGGCATCGGCTCCGAGACGAGGAACTCGCTGTACCACCTGCACAACGAGCGCGACATGGTGCTCGTCACCACCTGCCGCCACGGCAAGAGCTGGAAGGACCTCAAGGACGAGCGCTGCGACGAGGACAACGCCGAGTACGACAGGTGAGTCCATCTCGCGCGCCTCGCCCACGACAAGGCCGACTCGGAGGCGGACTGGCGCGTCCTGGCGCGTCCTGTCGCGTCCTGCGGGACCCCGAACGTTACCTGTGCCCCAAGTGGGGCCCGAGTGGGCCGGCCTTGCCTAGGCTAGGCCCCGCCGCCAGGCCCCGCCGGGCCACCTCCCCCGGCCAAGGGCAGCCTCCTATTAGCCCGTGTACCTTAATTGGACTCGCTACCCCACGTGGGGCCCTGACGCGCCGGGCCACTCCCCTGTCCATACCGGTGAGGCCGTCACGACGGCCGTCAGCCCGAACTCTTTAGCGGGCATGCTGATGATCCTCCTTGGCGCCCTGCAGGCCCTTCAGCCCTTCGGGTGATTAGCGCGACCCTTATCGCGTTTTTATCATCCGACGGTGCAAGCCAAGGCGCTAAATGTCGACCCTAATGACGGCGGAGGGCGGACGGCTTGCTTGCCGATGGGCCGACGGGAAGGGCGGGGCAAAGGACGACAGCGCGACAGCGTCTCACGCCCCGGCACAATGAAGGGCTGGCGGAGGGGCAGCCGAAGTGGACAGGGGCGCTCCGAACGCCTGCGCGGTAGGCAGCCCGAACGCGGCCGCGTCGCCGGGACTGCATCGCCGCGGTCGCAGGCGGCTCGCTGTCGCCGACGACGGGGACCTCGCTCGGCGACGACCGTTGCGTTTTTGTGTGTGATCTACATGAAAGCAAGGGATTTGGCCCTGATCGGCATCAGCTGTTGCTGGAGGGAGGCGAGGCAGAGGGCCTGCAACGCGGAGTGCTTGCGCAGTGCGCGGCAGTGCGCGGCAGTGCGCCCCCGCTGTCTGCAGAGTCTGGGAGCCGCGCCAACGCGCCAACTTGCACTGCCAACTTTTATTTCACCATAACCCCGCCCTGCCCCTCCTGCACTGTGAAAATTTGGATCGTCGCTATGGGATTTCTTCCACACGTGATTGCACGAGTTTTCCTCACAAGAATGTCATGGAACCGGCTGATGACTGTGTTTCCACGCCAATTTGAGACGGCACGATCGTCATTTTCAAGTTATGACAGTGTCATCCGTGATTTTGCCGCATCGAGTGACTACAACTTTTAACAGTGTAGGCGGTACTTGACTTTTTTTTTTTACTCGACGCTCTTTTTCTTTTCCTCTCTTTCTGTCCGATTCGCTCTGCCGGGCCGCGAAGTTATATGCGAGGGCAGCTTGGCGGCCTCCTCGAAGCCGAGCCGCGCGCCGCCGCCTTTTCCTCCTTTTTCAATAGGCGAAGTTGGGCGGCGCATCGCGGCGCATCGCGTCAAACCAGCGAAACCAGTGAAACCAGGAAACCAGCGGCGTGGAGTCGCCCCCCTTTCGGCATAATTAGTCTTTCTCCGGCATTGTCGCTGGAGTGGAATCGAGTTGTGTGTGCGATTCGCGCATTCAGATCTGCGGCCGGGGAGACAAGTGGTGAGTGGAACTTTTGCGTTGACAGTGGCGTGCGCGTCGCGTCCGCTTCCAAAGTCTCCTCCAAACTCGGAGCTCCGCAAACCCTGCGATCGGACTGTGGGCCTTTATTACCTCGATCCTCGGGCGCCCGGCGGAGGCTGAGGTGGAGGCCGAGGTCGATATGGAGGCCGTGGCAGTGGCGTGGCAGTGGCGTGGCCGAGGTGGACGGACGGCACGTGACCGCCACGCCACTGCAGTGCAGCAGGCCGAGGCCAGCCTCGCAGTGTGTCGGCCTAGGGCCGGAAGGGCCGAAAGGAGAGGAGGAGGCCGTGCCAGCCGCAGCGGGGCCCAGGCCCAGGCCGAGGCCCAGGCCCAGGCCGAATCCAGCCAATCACTCGACCAATTATTGAACTCTGCGAATTTGGTCGGTGTGCGCGTCGTGGCCCGGCCTGGTGGTGGCACGGTTCGCGCCCTGCCCGCCTGCCCTGCCCTGCCCTGCCCTGCCCTGCCCAGCCCAGCCCGGCCCCGCCCGGCCCTGGGTCAATCTGACATGGCACATCCCGGTCCGCCCCGGTCGCTTCATGTTTCATGAGCCCCATGGCGCGGCGCAGCGCTGCCGTGTGAGCGTTCTCCGAATCGCGCCCAAGGCCGCAGGCGGTCCAAAGTATCAACGAAAAAAAAAGAACCGCGCACAGAATTAAAATAAAGAGAAACAAAATGGCTTTTGATGGTCGAGCGTCAAAAGGAAACATGAAACCTCTTCTCGTACATCCTTTATTTTTTAAAAAATGCATTCTTCTTTCAGGAAAATTTGCATTGAACTCGCGCTGTAACTTTTTGAAATATTTTTTCGGTCTTTCTGATGTGTACTTTTTTTGAGCACGCCTAATTTGCGAGTCGTTTTGCCGTCTGCGGTGGCCTTCCCCCCCCCCCCCCCCCTCTCGGCTCTCCCGTGGAGGAGGCAAAGCCAGCGGACTTCCCCTCCACTTTCCGGATAAATCGGGGCAAAATTGGCGCGAGCGAGCGAGCAGGGCTAGTTGGCCGTTGGATGGCAAGCCGATGGCAAGCAGTCGGTAAAGCGTGGCGAGGCGTGGGCCCTACGTTGCGTTAAATGGACTGCGAGACGATGAGGTTATTTCAGTTGGTGTAGGGAGGGGTTATCGGCTCGAACGGAAAGGGCTGCTCCGCCCTGTAGGGATCGGTGTAGTTTGCTGCGTCAAACGGCGGAACGGCACCACGGCCGCGGGGCTTCTGGCCCACCGCCACCGCGCCGCGATGCCTGAGAGACCGAAATAGTCGATGCATCGGAGGGAACGCGAACGAGTCCTTTTTGCGGCCCCGTCGCTTTGGGGCGTCAGACGCTGCGTGGAGGATGCAACAGTTTTGTCCGGAATCGTAAAATTAATAGTCTTACGAAGAAATTTCTCCGAAACCGCGAAGGAAATGGCGTTAGTCTTTTTACCAATGAAAATCTAGTAAAGATTACAACTATAGAGAAATTTTGCTTTTTTTTCTCGCTTCACTGTAACGTCTAGCTCAAATTTAATTTTAAGGCATTCCGAGTGCAGTGGCGGTTCCAGGTTTTTGACAGTGCTGTGGCTGCGGCCCGGGGCCCGGGCCAGGCGGTGCGGATTCGGATTCGAACGGACACTGGGGTGCTGAAGTTGTCAGCGAAGTGCGGATCGGGCATCGGGCCGCATCGGGCTCGGACGCGGGCCGGCTCTCATTCTGCCGCCTGTCCGGTTCGGTTTGCCTCTCTCTCTCTCTCTCTCTCTCTCTCCCTCTCTCTCCCTCTCTCTCCCTCCCTCTCTCTCTCTCCGGTCCCCTCGCACTCTGGCGTCCCCGAGGGCGCTCTGTGTGGCGGCGCGTGGACAAGGCGCGTGGCGCAGGCCCCGAGCGCGCGGGGATGGAAAGTCGTGGCGCAGTCAGCGAGTCGCACTGCTGCACACGCACAAAAAAAAACAAAAAAAAAAACAAAAACAACTCAAAAACAACAAAAAAATCACACATTATAAAAATTAAAATAGCCACGACTTTACTCCTACGCCTTCTAAAAAAAATTCTATTTTTTTTATTTTTTATGTTGAGAAAGTGAAAGAGTGGTTGGATGGCAGAGAGAGAAAAAGAGAGAGGGAGGGAGGGATGGTGGGAGAGAGAGAGAGAGAGAGAGAGAGAGAGAGAGAGAGAGAGAGAGAGAGAGAGAGAGAGAGAGAGAGAGAGAGAGAGGGCGCGGCCTTGGACCGCGTTGACGGCGGTGCCTCCTTGGTGCGCTGTCGGCGCTGCTACGCTGCTGTGTGGTCTCGGTTGGTTGAAAACCCGGCCGGCGCGGTCCGGCCCGGTCCGGCGGCCGCCGCTTCGAATCTGATCCGAGACAAAGTGAAGGGCTGCGCGTCGGGCCAATGGAGCCCTTGGCGGCCCCCGGCCGGCCCTTGGTCCTGGCCCTTGGTCCTTGCCCTTTGGGGGGGTCAAGCCTTTTCCGAGGGGCCACGGCCTGGTGGGCGGACGGGGCGCACGGACACGCAGAATGGACCGGGCGGGCAGGGCGGGCAGGGTCCGCTTTGGATGCTAAGTGGGAATGAAGCCACTGCTCGGTACACTGCACTGTGTGTGTGTGTGTGTGTGTGCGCGTGTGTGTGTGTGTGTTCCTCTCTCTCTCCAGGCCCGCCCGAAGTAGGTCAAATTAGATTGAGTAGATTGGCAGGCCTGGGCAGGCCCGGTGTCCTTTCGGCAGCCAGTCTGTGCGTGCACGGCGGCACGCGGTGGCACGGCAGTGCGCCAGCACGGCATCAGTATTCATAAGGCTGAGAGGTTCATCAGGTCGCCGGAGTGCCCCGGGAGCTGAGCTGTATACATACTCGATCCCCCTCCGGGATGATCCCCAGGGATTCGCCCCCCGCTGCGTCGCCGCCGCGTCGCCGCTGCGTCCAGGTGAAAGTTGAGGGGAAGGAGGTGTAGAGGCCTGTGTCAGCCGGGCGCCGGGTCAGCCATGCCTGCGGGAAGACAGCGGAGACGTGCCGGGGGCGGGGCGGGGCGGGGCGGGGCGGCGACCCGAGGGTATACGGCCCGGGGATGATCCCAGTCGATCCCCCCGCCGCTCCCCGGGCCGGCCGGGCCGGCGGGGTCGACACCAGGCTTTCCTTTTGTTTGGACGCCAGGGGACGAAATATCACTTTGCGCAAGGCTGCAGCGTGGCGGCGGCCCGGCGGGGGTGGGGGCAGTGGGGGCGGGAGCAGTGGGGGCGGGTGCAGCGGGGTGGGCGGGCCCAGCGACTGCCTGGTGGGCTTCGCTGTCTTGGTGGTCAACACAATTACCGCCTCCGTGTCGTCGGAGTTCGGCCCGGGTCGCGTGGCTGCGGCAGAGTCCGGCCCACGGCGTGGGTTGCCATTGATGACAGCCAAACTTCGGTCGATCTGCATGCGTGCTGGCGGTGGTATTGAAAAGGCCAGCGACTCGCCTTTGTCTTTGGCGCCCGGGGCGGAACCAGCAACTCGACAATGCCCGGGCATTGCCGTTGCCAGCGGGGCCCGGCCGCCGGCTGAGGCTGGAGGCTGGAGGCCAC